AATAATAGACTTAAATTTTTATTAAAATATTAATATTTATAATTATTTTCATTTTACATATATTTGTTTATTATAAATATATATTTAGATCATTGACATTATAATTTTAACACTTTTTAGGATTTTCTATTGAAAATGATTTTATTGTTATAAAAATTATATTTAATTGTTTTTATTTGGAAATAATGTTAAACTATAAATAAAATGAAATAATAAAACATCAATCCCCATCTAATAAATATGATCCTAAATTAATGAAACAAATGATTTAGAGAGATCAAATAAATATATAAAAAATTGTGATAATTTATAATTATCGAATGCTTATGATATTGATAAAAGACAATAAATTGAATAATGTAATGAATATAAAGATTCCACAAATTTCAATTATTTAATTTGTTTTAATAAAATAAAAAAATCTTAGGGTATCATTATTAATATTTGAATTAATTAATAATAATGTGTTCAAATTGGATTACTAAAATTGTTAGATTTTTTTAATATCCATTAATTAAAATATTCAACTAATTTTGGTATTTACCAAAAAACAATTTTCTTTTATTTATTAATTTTTAGAATGGTTTCACATGTAAATTTAATCACACAATTCATATTATTAGTTTATATTAATTAACAAGTAATTCTCATTCAATTTTATTCAAATTATCCAACTTTGAAGTTTGAATGGGCTGATTAAAAATGCTGATACCTATATATCCTATTACCTAAATATTATTGACTTAACTTTAAATTAATGCTTGCAATAACAATTGGTTATGTATAATGAGGTCATTTTTTGGATAACCAATTATTCAACGAAATAAAAAATTTTAATTTATTATTTTTGTAGTTCAGTTTAATTAAATTATTCTTAAAGGCTGGATGATTAATTTAATAAATTCAAAAGTTAAGATATATTATTGACATTTTCTACTTTTTGTATTTAAATATAAAAAAAGTACAGATAAAAGACTCAATAATTGATATTACCTAAATAAAAATATAAATCAATATTCTTCTTTCTTTTTTTGATTATAAGATAGTTATTTGCTCAAGGAAAAAAGTAGATTTTGCCCTTTTTTAAAATATCATTATATTTACTATGAATTAATTAAAAGTTAACAGTTTTTGAGTTCTTATTGAAAACTGTATAATCGAAATTCCTATATTAAATATGAATTAATCTCTTGATCAGTTCGAAGGTACTTAAAAATTTGATGCATTAATTTGGGATTATCCAAAAAATATACCAAAAAGAATAAAGACCAAATCACATTGACAAAGAACTAATAAGTAACTTATAGCAGAGATGGATAAATTTTAAGAATGTAATATTTATACTACTATTAAACTATAGTGATTAAATAAAAGACACTACTACTGACATACAATAAAATCTGACAAATTTAGAATAATTATCACATCTCGAATGGTCAGGAATATATGGATAGAATAATTAGAAGATTGGGATTTGGAAAACAATATGGAAGGGATAGACTTTAAATAATGTAGGTGGTTGGTACTCAAATGTTGGAAAAAAAATGGGTTTATGGAAATTATTGATTCACAATTACTGGAGGTAATATTAATTACTTTACTTAAAAATAGTCAAGCCTAAGCATTTTAAAGTAGATAATATTCTAATGATAAAAAAATTGGTGAATGGAAATATATATATGACAAAAAAAAGATGTATTAATTTTAATAAGCTAATTAGTGGTGGCGGGTTATACAATTAGTTAAGGTTTAAGAATGGTAAATAGATTGAGTTAAGTGATGGATTTTCTTCCTAATCTTAAGTAATTCTTGAAGGCGAATATAAAAATGGTAAAAAGATTGGTAAATGGGATATATTTTGTAGGAATGATAAGAGGAAACCATTTAAATAAATGTAAAATTATATTTAAAAATTTTCAAGTGGTGGTGGATCATATGATATTGATGGGATGAAAATAGGGAGATGGGTTGATTTTAGTGATGAATTTTATATGGAAACTTAAGTAACATATAATGGTGAATATAAAAATGGCAAAAAAATTGGTAAATGGGATATTAAATATCTACAGCCTCATTTAAATGAGATACAATAAATGTATAAATTAAAATTATATTCATTAAAGTTTTAGTGGTGGTGGATCATATGATGAAGGATGTAAAAATGGAAATTGGATTGAGATGGATGATAAATTTAATTATTTTAGGTAATCAACTCATAACGGCGAATATAAAAATGGGAAAAAGGTTGGCAGATGGGACAATTATTAGAACTATTGTGGAAAAAACAAAAAATGTAAGAATATTAAATATTATAAAATAAAATATTTTTAGTGGTTGAGGATCATATGATGAAGAATGTTGTGGGATGAAAATCGGTTAGTGGATTGTGGTTGATGATGAAAATTAGTAAATAACTCATATTGGTGAATATAAAAATAGTAAGAAAATTGGTAGATGGGAAATTTTATTTTAGGATAAAAGTACATAAGAAACTAAATAGATGTAAATATTATATAAACTAATGTTTTAGTGGTGGTGGATTATACGATGAAGAAGGTGAGGAGGAAAAAATTGGTTATTGGACTGAGCAATGTGGTGACTTTCAGAATGGTATGTTCTCTTAACAAATAACTAATAATGGTGAATAAAAAATGGTAAAAAAGTTGGTGTTTGGGTGAAAATTAATATAAATAAAAATGAGAGACTCAAAGAAATAAATTATGATAATTGAATAATAATTGAATTTTGATTGAATAATAATATAAAGTTAGCTGATTCTAATTCATAAAAGTAATCAAGGCTAAAATTGATTCAGTTAATGGACTATGTGCTAGTGTTAATTTCTATAAAATAAAAGTCTAACCATGGATTATGTTGCAAAATTTAGTCTAATGTGGCTAACTCTTCATATTATCTATTTCAACCTGGAGAGACCAAAATAGAATTTTTTAATAAGAAAATAAATATTTCAAAATTAATAACTTGTAAGAATTATCATAAATGATGGTCTTATATTTTTCTGTCTTTCATAATGTGAAATTTGGCATTCTTTGATAATAAGGTTTAGAGGACTTGATGAACTGCTAACATTGCATCATATAGAGCCACAAGTAAACTGCAAGTAGTATTAGAAAATAATTTTTGTTTACTGCAATACATTCTTGTTATTCTATAGAGTTCCCTAACAAAATTTTTAGAAGTGAGAATTATCTATGTGTTAATTTTAAAGAGGATAGGTAAGCTTTTTAAATTTTCACTGATTTACCTACAAAGCATTTACTAACTCATTTTCTTATATATATTTCTCATTTTATTTTCCACTTCCCTTTATAAAATTTCAACACATCTGTAATTAAGTGTCGCTTACATGTTATTTGATTGTTAGCTCGTTGAATCAAAGCTCTTCTCCACTAGAGGAACATGATAATTATTATTGTTCCTGTTTCATTAACAACTAAAAAGGGAAAAAATTAAATTCACACTGTCCTTTATTTTAGGCAAAATAACTAAGATCCTTGAAACCTAAAGGAAACTGGAAATGAAATTTAAAGATGCTAACTTATTTTCGATGCTTGAAATTTGGAGGAACCTTGAGATATTAGGATACCTAGCTTCTTATAGTTATAGGGGAGGTGTCTACCTCTTTTTCTATGCTTTGATGTCAGAGGGTGTGTAATCAGTCAGTGTCTTGAAGTTTTAGACACCTCAATATTTTTTATAAAGGCTATTAACATAAGCTTATGAAATAAGATATGAGCTTATCTCTGGTTTCCTTAGGACTTTTGTTCTATAGAAAGACATAGTTCATTATTCTAGAACATATCATTTTGCGGAATTTTTATTAAACGTAGTATATATTATTACTTCATCAATCGTGCGTATAAGGGGGCACTAATTAAGTAACAGGCAATTTAGTTAAAATTATTTTTGATTTCAAATAAGTTTCATTAATATATCAATTTATTTTAATTCACACCCTACTTACCTAAAAAAAATGGAATTTTATAAGATTTTCAACAAAGGGTTGACATTCCTAACTTCTAATTATTAATGTTATTATTTTTTTATAAAAATATTGAAAATGCTATTTATGTACAATTAATTTTTTCCACTTTCTATTTGAAAAGGTAAGCTAAAACAGAATAATGAAATTATTTTTATAAATCTCTCTCAACTAACAATTTTTATTAAAGATATATACAATCCTCCATTTCCAATACCTATAGATATATTAATTAAATCTCAAAATAGCCAATAAAACTAAAAATTGAATTTAAGCATTTAATTCATAATTTTAATGCTATAAATTCTGAATTGGTATAACAATACCATAAGGTGATACCTTATTTCTTCTTATTCAATTTGTTTAATAGATATTCTCTAAATTAGTCAACTATTCTTGATAAATTTCATGATGAATGAAATTACCTAGAAATTTTAGTTTTTAATTAGCTCATCATGTATATCTTGGAAAACTATAAATTCATGAAGAATATATGTATCAGGATATTAATTTTTCATTAAAATCATTTCAAAGATAATGAGAGTATATCGCTCTGATTCTTTAAAATACTGTATAAGAGATGCCAATAGTTTTCAAATATTTATTTCTAAAGATTGTTGAAAACTAATCATTCCGACGTATGCATGGTTCCCATATCACCTCAGTTAATTACTAATTAATTTAATAGTTCTCGATAATTATTGGTGATTAAGATATCTTTCAGTCTTTTATATTTTGAAATACTTTTATGTCGATTAGTAAAGAATAAAAGGTTGTCCTATCATTGTCTGGAACAGAGATATAAATCACAATATATCCCAACTAAAAACTTAAAAGCCATCCTTTTTCCTAAAAATAAAAGCAATTTAATAACAATTCTTGAATAATCTTTTGGATTTTAGAATTGCACTTCTATAATATAATAATAAGCTCAAAATAATAATAACACTTTAGTATCGATATTCTTAATAATTAATAGTTTTACTCAAAAATGATTTAATATATAGCTAATCATTTTAATAAATACATCATAATCTAAAATGCTTAAAAGAAGAAATACTTTAAATAA